GAAGATGAGTGCAAGTTGGAATGAGAGGTACTTACAAGGACCCACCCGCCCTGCCCACGAGCACACTTTACTTAAAACTATCGCACGCATAAAATTAACTTAAAACTAACGCGCGCATCCCTCGATGATCCCTCGATGATCGATGTCTTGAATGATGAACTATTCAGGACCTGTACAATAAGTAGGTATGACAATAAAAATAAGAGGCACTTACAGGGACCCACCCACCCGCCCACGAGCACACTTTACTTAAAACTAACGCTCGCTTAAAATTAGCTTAAAACTAAGGCACGCATCCTACGAAGATCCCTCGATGATCCCTTGATGATCGATGTCTTCAATCTTCGCGTATACGCATCGCACACATTCACTCATTCATACTACAATATGTTACAATAGACGCAACTTAAAATTAACTCAAAATAAACTTAAAATTAGCGCATAAGTTGATGAAATCCATCGAAGGAAGTCTTCAATGATGATCTATTCATTACCTATAGAATAAATAAGTGTAATAATAAAAAGAGGAAATAGAGAAGCACATGCAAGACTAGTAACATTATAATATTTAGGCATGCACAATTCATGCTAAGATGCACAATTCGTGCTAACATGCAAAATTCATGCTAACATGCACAATTCATGCTAACATGCACAATTAATGCTAGCATGCAAAATTCATATTAACATTTTCGGAACAAAAGTGAAATAAAACTCGAGTCGACTCGATAAAAATACGCAAATAAAACACACAATATATTTGAGAAATGTTCAATTACTTATTTAAAATAAAACTCTGAAACATAAAAATGTAATTAGGACACATAAATCATTTCATTACCTAATTAAAATAAAATCCTGAAACATATGAATGAAATTCGGACAATCATGAATTATTAAAATAAAAACCTGAAACATTCAAATATAATTAAAGCACATATGAATAATTAAACTACTCACTTAAAATAATAATCTGTAACAGACTAATGTAATTAGATAAACATATATCAATAAATTACTTACTTGAGATAAAAATCTGAAACAGACAAAAAGTAATTAGACAAACATAAATCAATGAATTACTTACTTGAAATAAAAATCTGAAACAGACAAAATATAATTAGACACATACAATAAATTACTTACTTGAGATAAAAATCTGAAACAGACAAAAAGTATTTAGAGAAACATAAATAAATAAATTACTTACTTGAAATAAAAATCTGTAACAGACAAAAGTGATGAGACATATAAAACATTGAATTACTTACTTAGAATAAAAATCTGAAACAGACAAAAGTGATTAGACATATAAAACATTGAATTACTTACTTAAAATGTAAACCTGAAACAGACAAAAGTAATTAAGACATAAAATTGGCGGAGCAAGAAATGAAATCTCTCTTTATTCGAAACGAAACTCTTAAAAAATAAAAAATACAATTTTGAAAACCTCGACTCCGAAATAAAAAGACGGAAAGATTTAGAAACTTCAAAAGTCGAAATAAAATCTCTTTAAAAACCTCAAATTTAAAATAAGAACCAATAGAGATTAAAAACTTCAAGACCGAATAGAAATGAGGTGATCCAAAGACTTTGACACTCGAAATAATATTCTCGCATGAAATGAAAGAGAAACTGAAGCCAAAGCACAAGTATTAAAAACCAATGAAATAATAAAGTAAGAGAGAGAAAGAAATAAAATCTTGGAGACTTTGAAGCTAGAAATAAAGTCAGATAGAGTATTAATGGCCCTATCAGTGAGTACAGGATGCAGGACACACACCATTCACACACTCACGCATACTATAATACATTTTAAATGCCCTACATGTACCTCTTATTCTAAAATTGCACTCGCAAATAAAACTTAAAAAAAAGCAAAGGGATATGAAAGAAAGTTGGAAGAACTTTCTTTTAAATTTGGGGAAATTGAGAAAAAATAACAAACTATTACTACAGTCTAATATGTAAATTAAAAAATTGTGAGAAAGACGAGTGCAAATTAGAATAAGAGGTACTTACAAAGTGCGCAAGCTTTTCGCCACAAATTGTGACGAAAAACCTGCGCCCGAGCCCACCCTTCCTCCCACAAGCTCGGAATCAATGTAAAGCTAATGCATTAAACAGAACTTACCAAAAATTACATTCTGAAACAGACAAAAATTTGTTAACATAAAAATTTGAGAAGAGAGAACATAACTTATCAAGAATTAAATTCTGAAACATACAAAAATTTATTAACATAGAAATTTGAGAGTAGAGAAGAATGTAAGAACTTACCAGAAATTAAATTCTGAAACAGACAAAATTTTATTAACATGGAAAATTGTGGGAGAGGAAGGAAAATTTTTCTTTATTTCATACAAGAATTTCAAAAAACAAAACGCAATGAAAATTGCGGATTTCAGAAGAGAGAACAACATAATTTACCAAAGAAGAATACTAAAACAGACAAAAATTAATTAACACAGAAATTCGAGAAGAAAGAATAAAACTTACCAAGAATTAAATTCTGAAACAGATAAAATTTTATTAAGATAGAAATTTTAGAAAAGAAACCAATGTAAGAACTTACCAAAAATTAAATTCTGAAACAGACAAAATTGTATTAACACAGAAAATTGTGGGAGAGGAAGGAACATTTTTCTTTATTTCGTACAAGAATTTCAAAATACAAAACGCAATGAAAATTGCGGATTTGAGGAAACGACAAAATGAGGAGGCAACGCAACTTACCAAAGAAGAAATACTAAAACAGACAAAAATTTATTAATATAGAAATTTGAGAACAGAAAACAATGTATGAACTTACCAAAAATTAAATTCTGAAACAGACAAAAGTTATTAAGACAAATATAAATTATTTCATTACTTACATAAAGTAAAAATCTGAAACAGACAAAAGTCTTTAAGACAAATATAAATTATTTCATTACTTACTTAAAATAAAAATCTAAAACAGACAAAATTTGATTAGCCTATACAATTGTACGAAAAGAAGTGAAACGACACTATGGAGAAACAGAAAACACAATAAAAATTACGAATTTAAGATCAGACAACAATAAAACAATTTATACAAAATCAATTCCTGAAACAGAGAAAAATAATTAACACATAAAATTGGGAGATATTAAAATCGCGGAAGGATATACAAATCTCGAAATAAAATCGCGAAGGGATATAAAAATTTCGAATTTCGTAATATAATCGCGAAGGGATACAAAAATCTCGAAATTTAATCGCGAAGGGATACAAAAATCTAATCTCGAAATTTAATAGCGGAGGGCATAAAAATCTCGAATCGCGAAGGGATATGCAAATCTCTAATCTCAAAATTTAATCGCAAAGTTATACAAAAATCTCTAATCGCGAAATTTAATAGGGAGGGCATAAAAATTTCGAATCGCGAAGGGACATAAAATCGCGAGGGGCTATGCTCGTAAAAATTCGAGCAAAACTTGACGATACATTTTGTATCGTTCAAAAAACACATGTAAAATACAAGAAAATAATAGCGAGCATAGTGACAGAATGACTGTCCATCTTAGAATTCTAAGATGGACAGTCATTCTGTCACTATGCTCGCTATTATTTTCTTGTATTTTACATGTGTTTTTT